ATTCGACCATTGTACTTGCTTGGTTAAAATCAGATCCTCTGAAATTAAACCCTTATGTGGCAAACAGAATTATAAAAATTCAAAACTTAACTTCAACTTTTAAATGGTTATATATTAACACGAAAGAAAATCCTGCCGATTGTCTATCCAGGGGTCTCGAGCCTCAGGAAATTGAGTCAAATAATCTGTGGTTCCACGGTCCAAACGTTCTTTCTGATATTAATTTTTGCCATAATGAGATTCCTATAGAAATTCCTGCTTCCTTGCCAGAAGAAAAAATTTTAACACAAGTCATAAAAACAAAGCCAAATTCATTTTTTGAAGATTTTTCATCCCTTAGAAGACTTCAAAGAGTTTTTGCCTATATACTTAGATTTGTTCACAATTCTGGAAAAAATTCTGGTGAAAAACTTGAGGGAAGTTTGAAGCTTTCAGAACTGGAACACAGTCTTAGAGTAATCATAAAATGTGAGCAAGACTTTTACTTTTCTAATGACATTAAATCTTTACTTTCCAATACCCCTTTAAAATCCTCATTAAACTCTTTGTCGCCGTTCCTAGATGGCAATGGATTATTGCGAGTGGGTGGAAGGTTACATAATTCAAACATTCCATATAATCAGAAACATCCTGTGATCTTGCCCAAGGAAAGTCACATCACCAAATTAATTATAATACAAGAACATTCAACTTTGTTGCACGCTGGACCAAGACAAGTTTTAGGTTCCCTAAACCTCAATTATTGGCTCATAAATGGAATAAGATTAATTAAAAAAGAGCTACACAAATGTGTGATTTGCTTTAAATTCAAAGCAAAATGTTCCACTCAATTAATGGGTTCCTTGCCGGAAAAAAGAGTCTGTTCAGCCAGAGTGTTTCAAAATGTCGGGGTAGATTTTTGCGGTCCCTTCCTCGTTAAGCAATCTCGAATTAGAAAATCCGTAAGTTCCAAGGCATACATAGCACTTTTTGTGTGCTTTTCAGTCAAAGCAATTCATATGGAACTGCTTTCAGACCTGACAACCGAAAATTTTCTAGCTGCTCTGAAGCGTTTTATTTCGCGGAGGGGGAAGCCCGCAAATATTTTCTGCGACAATGGTTCCACGTTTAAAGGAGCCGAGAATAAAATCAAAGAGTTTTATAACGAAACAGAAAAAATTGAAAATTATTCCCTTCAGGAAAAAATTACATTTAATTTTATACCGAGCTATTCTCCAGTTTTTGGTGGTTTATGGGAAGCTGGAGTAAAATCGGCAAAATTTCACATCAAGCGAGTCATAGGTAGCAATGAGCTTACCTATGAACAATTTAATACTCTTATTGTCCAAGTAGAAGGAATTTTAAATTCCCGACCACTTGTAGCCTTGTCACAAGATCCTTCAGATTTGGACTATTTGACCCCTGGTCATTTTTTGATAGGTGCGCCTATCACAAGCTTTCCTGACCCTGATTTGACGGAAATTCCCCAAGGTCGACTTAAGTTTTGGAAATTGTGTGTCCAGATGCAGCAGCATTTTTGGAAAAAGTGGTATCACGACTATCTAACGCAACTCCAAAATAGGCCAAAATGGCGTGATGAGATGCCTAACCTTAGGGAGGGCTTGTTAGTCATTTTAAAAGAGGATAATGTACCTTCTTATAAGTGGCCAATGGCAAGAATAGTTAAAGCAATACCTGGAAAGGACGGCAAAGTAAGGGTTGTCGAAGTGAAAACCAAAAAAGGTATTTATCTCAGATCGGTTACCAAGATTGCAGTGTTACCGATTGATGACAATAATTGTTAATAATATTTTTGAAAATTATTCACAAAATTCTGTACATATATTTGTAAAACATTTAGATTTATATTTATATTCAATTAGCTATACTCGTATATACATACATAATGTCATACTATGTGTTCCAGAAATGTGTTTAGCTTTAATTGTTAGTTAAGTTTTCGTTTACTGGATCATCATTGAAATCATACCTTTTTTTAAAAAAAAGGGTTGCTTACTTTCTCTTTAATTTTTTTATTTTTTTTTGCTGGAAAATTTTACCTTGGTTTCATGTGAAACTCTAGGCCCCCCAGCATGTTGGAAACATGTTCCAACAATCATGCTATCTCTTTTTGATGGCAAAATATTTTTATACATATAAAGTTTGCAACACTGCAGCGTTGTCGTCATGTCTATTTTGTCATGTCTGTCAATATATTGCGCGCCATTTTTGTCATTGCAGCAGTGTAGCTTGGAGCTTGTCCACGTTAACAAGCATCCAGAAACCTTTTCACATTTTAATAAATTTTATAATCTAGCTCTGCCCTGTTGGGCATCTAAGCAAGCTCTGGCTTCTTGTCATCTTGTAGTAGTAATTGTAAATAGTGTAAATATTGTGTAAATTGTTGTAAATATAGTGTCAGTGAAAAGCGCGTGTGTTTTAGTTCCCTATCCAGTCGATCATCCAGTCCACCTAATTATACAGTCCACTAATTATCAAGTTATTTATCTTCCATTATGTGGTTTTGCACACTTTTAAATTTTGTATGTAGAAAAGGCTTGTGTTGCCAACATAGTTACTAAATTTTTGACTTGGGGAATTATCTCCATCCAAACACACTTTATTAATTTTTCCTATAAGATATTTTATTATATGATTTCTTGTTGACAAGGACTTACTTCAATAGATTCTTTATAAAATTTTGAATAATATTATTACAGGGTATTCAAAAGTTAATATTACATAGGGTGTCTCATTTAAAATAAGCAAATTAACGTCTACTTCTGGTATGGGTGTGAAATGTTTGGGAATAGAAATAGATCACCACCTAAAATGGAACAAACAAAATCAAGCTCTTTCTTAAAAACTTAGTAGCACCTGCTATTCTTTCCGTGTTCTTAAACAATTCCTAGACAGAAAATTGCTATTATCTGTCTACTATGCCACTTTCTATTCTTTTGCACGCTATGGAATAATATTCTGGGGTAGAGCAGGATGCGAAGGAGATGCATTTGTTATGCAAAAATGTGTGCTGAGACAAATTCTTAACTTGTCCTACAGAGAGTCTTGCCGAGGACAATTCAAAGAAACAAATATTCTTACACTACCAGGTATCTATATCTATGAATGTCTTATGTTCCTACATAAAAACTTTGATAAGTTTCTCAACTATCTCCCAGAACACAAACATAACACCAGGTCAATTGTCTTAAACTATCCAGTGCACAGGCTCGCTCTCACTGAGACTGGACCCACCTACATGTGTATAAAACTCTTCAACTTTCTTCCCCAAAAATTAAAATTAAAAATAACAGAAAACTGTTTTAAAAAAGTTTTATTTCAGCATCTTGTTTCAATAGAGCCTTACACGATTAATGAATTTCTAAATTAAGATATACCTAGTAATAACTGAAAACTATTTTGTTCCTCTCTAGTGGTTAGAGGTGGGCCAACCTGCGATTTTAATGGAGCTGTGACAAGACGTGACTGCTCCAGTCGTGTCACTGTGACAAATAGCAGTGATTTTTTGGAGCAGTTTTACCTTAGTTGGCAGCCGTACTGCTAATATTATGTTAATGCTACATCGCAAAATGGCAAAGTCGCAGTCCGCATTCACAGCTGAGAGAGATGCTCCACTCTCCAGCCTGCCCTCTGCAGTAGCAGTTTCCATTTGGCGTGACCATAATGCGATTTATAATATTATTATTTCATTTACATCACTTAGCTCGAGTTTTGTCCGCGCTGCATCGGTCGGAGCTCGAACGGGCAGTGACAAAATGTCACTGCTACTTGACTGAGACTGGAGCAGGTCGTGACTGTGACAGACGAGTAGCAGTGACAAAGTCACAGTTCTTGAAATCGCAACCCACCTCTACTAGTGGTAAATATTTTGTTCCTTTTAACTGTTGGCCAGACTTGTGATAACTTTTTGTGATATTTTATATTTTAAACTGTAAAATTGTCTTTCTTTGTTTTTATTTTATACAAAGTACCTGTCTTTTTAACTGTTCTGTTCTTTTTAACTATGTATGTACTGATGACTTATTTTTTACTGTTTGACTGTAAGCACAATTTACTTTACAAATATTCAAATTATATTCTGGAGAAAATTTTAAAATGTTCCTTTTTTAACTCTTTTATTTGGAGAATACTTATCGTTGTAAAACTCAAATTTAAATTTAACTTTAGGTATATATTTTGACACTATTTAGTTAAACAACAATTGATGTTTTTTATAATCTCTTTTGTATGTTTCTTTAAAATAAAGATATTCTGATTCTGTATAACTGGAAGTGCCACCATCTTGGAATTATTTTAGCTGGGTTGTCCCTATTTACATTAGTATACTGTCAAATTTTCGAAATTTTAGGTTGAATAGGAGGCCCTGTCAATTTAGCACCCTAAATTTTCAGTGCTATTTCAAAATATTTTTTTTAAAAATCATTCAATTTAATGAATTTGAACTCAAAATAGAAAAAAATTGAATTTTCCTCTAATCATAATCCCATTTTAGAGGAGATAATACACTAGGAAGAACATTATTTTAAACAGTGTGTATCACTTGTATCCAATGATATCTTAACACAGATAGACACATCTCATTCATAAAACTGATGTTTGTTGTGATGACAAGACCCCCATGGGCTAGGAGAGGTGAGTTGCTAGAGGGGGTCATGGTAGGGATGCATCAGAGGTGTAAACAAGACCTGTATTCCCGTCATTCAATTGGCCAGAATAATGAAGAAATGTGCAGAGGTGCAACTCCCAACTCCTTTAAAAATTATAAAGAACATTCTAAGTTTTCCCACAAGTAAATTCAACATTTTTTGTTTTTCCTCAACATTTCTTAGGTCTAAAAGGCATGCCTCGAAATCAATTCAATTTTAGCAAGTTCAGAAATTGGCCTGTCTTGGCCTCAATGGTCTTGGCACATGAAATTACAATGTAGAAATGAAATATTGCCCCACAATAGGAAATAGGTAAGTACTCAGATTAGATTGAGAACATTTTAATGTACTTACAACATTTTTTAGAGGATGGTCGAAAGTAGTTTCCGATAAGAGCCTTTTCTTTTTTGACATGTCCTCATTTCTTAAAGTTTTCCTGCAAAGAAATGGATTTAGAGGACAAAGATTTATAACAAAATAAATGAAAACATTACCACATTGGTAGATGAGAAGACATTTTTGAGTTTAAGTGAGTTAAAAACTAGTTTTTTAAAGGAAATAGCGGAACAACAAATCAAATAAATGATATTTTTATCAATAATTTATTAGTTGAAACCTAATCAATCAAAATAATAATTAATATCCCATATCTGTGCCCATTTCCATTTTTTATTTTTATCTTCTTCAAGTTCTTTATTAATCCTAACCTCAAAACTAAAAAAAGTAAATAAATTTAAAAAAATTGACAGTAGAGTAAGGCTGTGCTATCGATAGCAATATCGATAGTGACTCGATTCTATCGATTTCTACTTGTGTGAATCGTGTGTGAACCTCAAGAATCGTGAACTCGAACCCAATGGAATCAGTTCAATTGGAGTTCAACGGGTTTGGCTAACACCGAGCGGAATGAAGTCAGAGCTGCTTTTTGTCGAATGTACTTTAGGGCTGCATACCTTACACCTTTTCACGTCGCTCCGGTTTAATTTAATTAAACTAACCAGGTTACAAAACGGTAAGGGGCGGTATGTCAAGTGATGACATCACTAAAAATGCCACTTGAAAACGAACGGTTAGAAAATAGATATTTTTGTCACAAGTACCTGAAATGAAGTTTTTCAGGACGAATCATTGCTGCTTGCGGACGAGGCGTTAGCCGAGTTCGGAATAGGAGATGACATTACTGAAAATGCCACTTGAAAACGAACGGTTAGAAAATAGATATTTTTGTCACAAGTACCTGAAATGAAGTTTTTCAGGACGAATCATTGCTGTTTCCGGACAAGGCGTTAGCCGAGTCCGGAATAGCAGATGAGTCCTGAAAAACTTCGTTAGGTACGTGTGACAAACACTATTTCTTGTCATACGCTTTTTAGAATCCTTCAGAACGCTAAAATTAGCAAAATTTGCTTAATATTTGAAATCATAAAGGTGCATCCAGGAAGAAAAAAAAAATCCTAAAAAGAAGCATTTTACGGACTTGAATGAGTCCGTAAAATAGCTGTTTTTGGGAGCGTATGACAAAAATGTTATTTTAAATTCGATTTGATTGATTTTTCGTCAGTGCCGTTGAATCTGACCTACCTATTATCTCTACTATGGACAAAAATATCTTAAATATGAGCAATTCACAATTAATTAATATGTGGAGAGATTATAGGGAAGGCAAGTTTTTTTTTTTTCAAAATTGTGGAATTATCCAATATTTCATTCCTTTTTATTACAGCAAGCCAAAAAGTGAGAAATAATAATAGGTACCTAAGTTAAAGTAGTTTAATTTCTTTTCGTTCAATGCTTTAGATGTGGACCACTGTGGACCATGGGTGGATAGACCTACTAGAACCAGAGGCGTTTTCTCGCGTCCCAAATGTTTCAAAACATTTTTCAAATCTGGTTTAAGTAATGTCATCATGACGTCATAATTTCTCGGCGCGAGAAAATGGTTTGAAAACGTGGATTGGATTGTATTTCGAAACGGTTTGAACCGTTTGAAGCAATTTTGACGTGACGTCATTGGTTCAATCGCGAGAATGTACTATTTCAAAACAGTTTTGAACCTGTTTTGAAAAAAGTGGTCGCGAGAAAACGCCTCAGTTTATCTAAAGTTTATAAGTTCTCGTTATCTACAGTCTACAACAGCCCATCCAGTAGGTAAACTGGGATTACGTCTCTGGACCTGGTACATCTTTTGAGTATAATAGAGGGTGATTTACGTAGTCCGTGCATTACCATGTAGATTAGGTGGTTTCTAATGCACGGACTACGTAAATCAGGCTGGTATACAAGGGAAAACGGTTTTCGGGATTCAAATTCATAAAGTATAATAATATATACAAAACACAACTTTTTATTTAGTTTTTACACTTTTCCGAACTTTCCCGATCTTCGTTGTTTATATTTTTTTCTTGTTACTGCTCGGCCTAACCATATCGCCGAGGCGATTAGAGAAATGACATACCGTTTTCTAACCCGGTTACAAAGTGACATCTTCGAATTTGAGTGGTATGTTGCGGTTTGTTAAACCGGAGCCACGTGAAAAGGGCTCTTGCGTTTGGTATCTTGCTCAAAGAGCAGACCGTGCTGACAGAGCCGTAATCACGTAACTAGCGAGCGAACAGAGCAGTTGAACGCTGTATCCGAGTGCCCGAAATTTTAATAACGAACGCAAATGAGCCTGCGCCGAGTACACTTTTTAAAAAAACGAACGGTGAATCGAGCGGTAAATTCAAGCTCCGAGAACTGAGATCAAAATACCGAATGCACGGATTGGATAGATGCCCGAACGCACTCCGGGCGCACTGAGCGCGCTCCAGCGTCCGGAAATCGTTCACGAATCAGGAAGTTTCAACCCGGTAAAATTACACCAGCGTTCACAATCGGCTAAGTAAAATTTGCTCGACACGCGCGATAGTTCCATGGTGTTTTTTTTTTTTTAAATTCTTAAGACCACCACAACGTTTTTGAAAAAGGTAGCTGGATTCATGATGAAATACAAATCCAATTCACAAAGAAAATGGAGAAATAAACAGCGAATGTACCATCGTCACCAAAAGTATCTAGGACAAACAAAATTCATATTAGTTGTATTCCTTTCAAGAGTTTGAAACACTCGAGCTACTCGCTCCGGTGTTTAGTCGCCCACGATTTGCAGGGAACAGATGCGTGGTGCAACAAACACTTTTCGAAAGGAATAAGCGCGTGAGGCCCCGGAGCTGTTCCGGAGTTCCTCCTAGGTGTGAAAGGAATACAACTAAAGTCTGTTTTTTTTTTAAAGATAATTCCCCAAGTCAAAAATTAAGTAACTATGTTGGCAACACAAACCTTTTCTACACGAAAAATTTGAAAGCAATGACAATTTTACATTGTATTGCCAACATAATGTCATTTTGACTTTTATCTTAAAAAAAAAAAACAGATTTTATTGATCTCTTGGACTATTCCAAGTTAACCTAGATAAACGTAAAATTATTCATAATTTGACAAATATTTGACACCAAAAATCATAATAGTACAAGAGCTAACATGATACTGTCCCAGTTACTTTTGGTGACGATGGTACGTGATGCAAATCAAAACATAAAACATACGGAGATATAAATGTCACTCACAATTCACCTTGTGGTTGGGGCGTTTCTTATCCCAGTTAAGTCACTCCAACTACCCGAGTAAGATCTACCTAGGTAGAATATAACCCGGTTTGTCGAATCGTGGATGCGCCCTAGAGTAAAAAGAGCGCATCCGGAATTTTTGGAACAAAAAAAAACAGTTCTTCGCGCTTCGAAAGTTTGAGCAGTTGAGAGTCTTTCAAACATTTAGGGAGGATTTTCATGCATCCGTTTTTCCGTCGAAATATGTCCGTTTAACATTCTATTCTGACATATTTATATACGATTATGTCAGAATAGAATGTCAAACGGACATATTTCGACGGAAAAACGGATGCATGAAAATCCTCCCTTAAGCCTAGTACTCATAACTGCGAAATTCGCAATTTTTTGACATTTCTTTGATAATTTGACGTTGAATTCACGCATAAAACGTCAATTTGTCGAAGCAATATCAAAAAATTGCGAATTTCGCAGTTATGAGTACTAGGCTTTATGATGATCGTTTTTTGAAGATCAGGGGCGAGTTCAGGAATGACACACCCAGTGTGAGTGTGACACCGGTGCGATGCCCTAGCTGTTCAAAAATGCTAGACGATGCTATGGATGCCCAATGGCCAATTGTCAATTCAGGCACACTCATAAAATCGCACTCGCACCCTGTGCGTTATTTCTGAACTCGGCCCAGATCTACTTGTGTGAACCTCAACGGAGCAATTTTTTGTCGAGTGTGTTCTTAAGGTGCATCCAGACCGGTGTAACAAACAGCGCAAAACGTTTGCGAACTGCTGTAACAATTTTTTGTTTATTTACCGACACCGCGTGCCGAATTCTATTTTACGAGTCAAGTCGAAATTCGTATCGAATTGTCAAAATAGCGATTCTATTTTTCGATTTTTCCATACGTTTAAGGCCTAGTACTCATAACTGCGAATTTCGCAATTTTTTGACATTGCGTTGACAATTTGACGTTTTAAGCGTGTATTAAACGTCAAATTGTCGAAGAAATGTCAAAAAAATGCGAATTTCGCAGTTATGAGTATTAGGCTTTACACGGTACATCCGGAGCTGTCGTATTCGATATCGAGACAATTCGAGTCGACTCGTAAAATAGAATCCGGAGGCGCATGGAAAATATTTTGCGCTGCGCAAGACAGAGCGCGCGCGAGTAAATCTGAGCGCGCAACCGTCCAAACTAACATGTTCTGCAACGTTCGCGAACGTTTTGCGCTGTTTGTTGCACCGGTCTTAGCCGCTTTCCAGTATGCACATTGGCGCGCTCTGGCGCGCTCTAGAGCACCTCGGGGGCGTCACGCACTAGATTTGTACCGTTCCAGTATCATGACGTGAGACGCCTGTCTTTGTGTGAAATATGTCAAATTTTAAAAATAATTATCTGTTTGTTTGTGCAGTTTGTTTTTTTATTTATCATAAATGAAATAGAATCAAAACTATATTTTTTAAAATGTTCAATCTTGAGATATAACAAGAAATAAATAAATAAATAGCCACCCACGGATGTGACAGCTGACAGGTTGACGCGTACGTACAGCTCGGGAGCTCAACGCCCCGAGTAGCTCCGGGCGTCACACTCCCATACTGGAAAGCGGCTCTGGGGTGCGTTCAAAGACGCCAATGCTAATGCCAAAACCTAATTTTCCCCCTCCACCTGGTAATGCCGAACCACGTAGGTTGGAGCCGAACTCGAACGCAAAATGCCAATTTTGGCTTGGCTGTAGCCATTCCTGAACGCAGCCCTGGATGCACCTTCAGAGTAACGAGAGCGTATGTACCACTACAGAACTTTTGGAACAAAAAAAAAAAAAAAAACAGCCATTGGTGAAAGATTTGGAGTGCGCTCTACTTAGGGCGGGTATTATAAAACTATCTTGACAGATAACTGAAAGTTAACTTTTGGAATTAAATACATGAGAAGTAACGTCGTTCCAGAATAGCTTTAATTATTTTGTCAAAATAGTTTTTCCGTGCGTTCGGTATTTTGATCCGAGTTCTCCGAGCCTTTAAATTTACCGTTCGATCATTTAAAAAGTGCAGGCTCATTCGCGTTCGTTTATCAAAATTTTGAGCACTCTACAGCGTTCAACTGCTATGTGCGCTCGCTAGTCGCGTGATTACGGCTAAAGTCGATGCTCAAGGATGCGTCTTGGCTCAAGTGCGACTTGACGCCATATTTACGTTTCCAAACAGCACGGAACGATGCTCACAACTGTCAAAAATTGGAGCTTGAGCCAAGCACCCGTCTTTGAATACCGGGATGCTCAGCACGCTCTACTCTTTGAGAGCTACTCACTCCGGTGTTAGTCGACCCCGATTTGAAAAGAACAGATGCGCTCGATTTTGTACAATAGTTGTATTCCTTTCAACTCCAGAACAGCTCTGGGGTGTTACGCGCTCATTCCATTCGGAATGTGTTTGTTGCACCACGCCTCTGAGCACCACGCATCTGTCCTTTTAAATCGGGGGCGACTAACACCGGAGCGAGTAGCTCGAGTGTTCTAAATTCTTGAAATTAAGGAATTCAACTATTTCCTTACCTGGGTTGTTGCGTTGGTTCGAGAACCTGAGCTCTGCTTTCTTGTGCCACCCTTTGAGCGCTCCCGAGCTAGTCGGTACTCCGGCTACAGTTTGACGCGTTCGGTTTCAAGCGTTCGAATGCATAACGCATGTAGTATGGCAGGTCACTGACAGGTGTGAAGTGTTCTAGGAGCACCCGAAAGCGGCTCTGGGCCGGTATTCTCGTTCGCGAAAACGCTCACCGCTTTTTAGTCGCTCGGCACTTTTAATGTAAATTCACATTGAAAGTGCCGAGCGACTAAAAAGCGGTGAGCGTTTTCGAGAACGAGAATACCGGCCCTGGTTGTTGGTGTGAAACAGAGATAAGTGAAGTAACCATGTTTCTCTAAAATTAGCCAATTGCTTCCTGCATCTTGTTCATTTTCTCGTGACAACCCCCTTTCTGAACGTCGCAACCAGTGTTGTGCCTGTAGACAATGTCAACGTAAACAATTGATTGTCTACGCGTAGATCTTGGCGTAGACAATTCGAATTGTTTACGTGAGCATTTGTCTACACATTGTCTACATGCGGCGTAAACAATATTTTATTATAAAAAAATCGAAAAAAAATATCAAAAGTTACTACAATATCACTATCACTTCGATATTAGCATTCACTGATTATAAAATATCAGAAAAACCAATAATAAAATAAAAATAATTTAAAAAAAGGAAAGTGTGAGGTTAGAATTAAACGTCATTTATATTATTTTACATTGTTGACACGTTGTCTACATTGTCTACATCTACACGTAAAGTAGACAATGAAAGTCTACGTGTAGACGCACATCCCTGGTCGCAACCCGTGAGATTTTTATCCATACTCCACCTTTTCGAACGGGATTTTTTTACGACACAACAAAAGAGGTTCTCGAACGCAACCCATTCGATTGCCAAAAGTGGCAAAAGTGCCAAATGCCAATGTCAAAAGTGGAAGCGTCAAAGTTTCAAAACAAACCGACAAAAAATAAAAAATATCCTCAACTGTACATCTGAGAATAAACAATCATTAATTTTAATTTTCTTGGTCATTCTATAAGAATTCAGAAAGGTAGGAAATCTCAAAAATGTCTGGTTTTCCTATTCTTCCTCAAACCCTGCTATTGCTTACCCTCTCATTGTTTTTAGGCAGGGAAGCTTCGCTTCAACCTTTCCTTTTTGTATAAACTCTTTTACCTAATTCACAAATAAAGACATGATTATTTTATTATTTATGTTTATTTCACAGCAAAAGAATGTCTGCAAAGAAAAAACCACGCAAAGAAACGCCACAACGACCGCAACCTTCAAAGCAAGTCGACTCGGTTTCCTCTGACTCGGAAGAAGAGCTTGAACTCGATGAAAACGGTGGGACGTTTATAGATGGTATTTTTATTCCTCCAGCTGTACCGCCAACTTTATCATTCAATCCTACTGGACCCCGTTTGATTATAAGAAAAATCGACAACAATTTTTTCAAGAGTTATGCTAAAAATGAAGTTTTGGGACCATTTCATAAGGTAAGATATTTTCCCATATTCAATCTTTATTTTTTGTTCTTTAACCATACCTACACTGACAAGATAACAAAGATATTTTTAAGGCAGTGGATAGAGGTCCAAAAATTCGGATCTTCCGTGGTATTATTGAAGACCCGAAAATAGATGTTTATTTCTAATTCTGTCGTAATTGAGGAATATTATAACAATAATAATAATAATAATAATAATAATAATAATAAACGTCTTTATTTGCATATTCATAAATATAATATAATATATGATTCACACATACAGAACACAGGTGGCGAAGTTTAGCCAATGGCCATTCTTCCACTCAACCATCTGTGCCCCACATTGGGCCAACATTTTAAAGGTAAAACAAAAATAATAGGTATTGTAACATCTATCATCTATATAGGTAACATTAGCTATTTTGTAACAATCGCTTCTTATATTCTAGTCTCAGTTTATATACACTGTATTCTCTGAATGGCAAATTAACTGAGTTCAACAGTTTTACCATACAATAAGAGAAACTTCTCTGAAATAGTGAAGTTCTGTGTTTAGGCACTGTGAAAGTTGTACCATTTCTTAAGTTTAAACTATGAACATTATGTGCATCAGCCCTACACTCTATTTATACCATTTCAATAAAATTGATAAAATGCTTGTATTTTTAAGGATTTACCTTTACTAGAAAAAATGGATCCTCTAGAAAAGTACAAAAAACAAAACTAAGTACCTTTTTATTTTTTTAAAACATTAGACAATTAAAAATAAATATTTCTTCATTTTAAGGGTTGATAGGGTAAGAGGTGTGGTGTGAGGTGTGATTTAGTTCCTTCTGCACTGCATGCAAAACCAGGCTTTCTTACTAGAAGGCAGCTTTGTTACTAAACAACACACTTTATGTTTACACCGAAGACGTGAATCACACTGTAAGCAATCTTCATGTATTACGTTGTTACATATATCACAAATCCATTTTAGAATACTATTTTGTTTTTCTCCAATTCGTTTTTGTAATAAAACATAAGAATCCAGACAAAAATATGTTTCTATTTCTGCTAAAGATATTTCTTTTTCAAGAAGAAGTGGATCAATTTGTTGATGATGAGGAATGTTTTATTTCTCATTTTTAAGGTTTTTATCTCGATTTTTATGTAATGCTTTGCTTACTAAATCATCTGTATTCAAAACTGCATTAAACTTCATTTTTGAATAAAACACTTTTATTTTTCTTAGACCTTTTTAGTCCAATTGCAGTTAATTGATGTCCTTTGAGTCTTCAAATCAAATCAAATCAAATCAAAATAAGCTTTATTGTACAGAAAAATAATTTTCATTGACAAAGCAATTCATTACAATAAAAACTAAAACCACTATTACATTTAAAGGAACTTCAATAAAAAAAATCTTAACAACATTAGGGTGCAATGTAAAAGAATCGTTACAAGATAAAAAACAGAAATTAACAAGAATACACCAACAAACTTACAATTATTTATTTATTTACTTACTCTTCACAAACACTGATTACTCAGTAATTACATGTAAAGGAAAAAATAGAATACAATTACGGAAAAAAAAAACAACAACAAATACTCCATAAGGAAATACAAACAGTAAAAAAACTGAAAACTCAAAAATTATACACAAATGCCAGAAAGCTATATGTCCTGATGCAACACATCCAGTATTTCTTTATGGCTCCTTCTAAAGAAATCAAAAAACTCATTTTCATTCAACATTTCATTACAATAGGCTAGGATATTATTAATAGGCGATGTACCATTGACTGCAACATCAAAAATTTCTTTGGTTAAAGTTCTAAGTCTAATCTTTGGTACCTTGAAATTCACAAATTGGATCAGATCACATTTCTTGTATTTGATATTATTTAAAATATAATAGATATATATCACAGCCTGAATTTTTCTTCTTGTATATAAACTTGTAAATTTGAAAGTTTCAAGCATGGACCTATAAGACACCATGTAAGGGTATGCATTGTTCCTTCTTACATACAGATACCTTAAAAATCTTTTTTGTATTTTCTCTATGAGATCAATGTTTGTGTTTGCAGTTGGAGACCATACAACAGATGCATACTCCACATGGGGCCTCACAAGTGCGTTGTACAATCTCACGATAGTATTTATTTCAAAATTCTTACTGTTACGTATTACAAATCCCAGTGCCCGAAAAGCCTTACTAGTTAAGTAGCTGTAATGTTTGTTGAATTTCAAGTTCATTTGAAAGTTGACACCAAGATCCTTCACTTCAGTTTTTCTTTCGATCTTCACACCACCTATATTATAATCTTCAATAAAATAATTCACCCTACGAGTGAAAGATACAACCATACATTTTTTAATATTGAGAGACATCCTGTTCTCAGTAAACCACCGCAGGACAGAGTCAAGATCCCTCTGCAATTTCATGCAATCATTTTCATCAGAGATTTGCCTGAATAATTTAAAATCATCTGCATAAAGCAAACTTGTGGATGCTTGAACACAGCTAGGAAGATCATTTATGAATAATATGAAAAGGAGGGGACCCAAATTGCTTCCTTGGGGTACACCTGATGTAGCAGAGTATTGGTCAGATCTAGACCGCCCAACTTTGACTATCTGTTGCCTATCCTCTAAATATGACCTCATTAAATTAAATGCGCTCCGTGAAAAATCAAAATCAATCAGTTTTCCCAGAAGCCTGCAGTGGTCTACCTTGTCAAAAGCCTTAGCACAGTCTGTATATACGACATCCAACTGCTCTTTATTTTCTATTGCTTGGGATGCATACTCTGTAAATAAACTCAAATTTGAAATTGTTGACCTATCATAAACAAATCCATGTTGGTCCATCGTAATTTTATGTTTAACATGTTGATAAATATCACTATACAAAATTGTATTTAATAGACTTATAGGTCGGTAATTTTCAATGTCATTTTTTTTCCCACTTTTATGAATAGGGGAAACTATGGCTGTTTTCAAGTCACCTGGAAAACACTCTTGTTTGATAGCTAAATTAAAAATATATACCAAGGGTTCTGATAAAAAATCCACACATCCCTTATAAATATAAGATGGGATTTCATCAATACCTGTTGACCTCTTAGACTTCAAATCTTTTATGCTTTTTCTAACCTCTATCTCAGTTATCTCTGAAAAACAGAAATCGCCATAACCATTGCTTCCGTGACCACAATTAGAGCAGCTAGATGTCCCATACACAGACCCAAAATAACTTGCAAATGCATTTGCAATGCCAACCGGATCACTAAAACTCTCATCACCCAACCTCATTTCCGTTGGCATTCCACTTTGATTTCTCTTAGACTGAACAAAAGCCCAAAAACTGCGGGGGTCATTATTAATATTTCTTTCCAGCGAACTCTTATATGAGTTGTACTCAGCTGTGCTTTGAGTTCTAACAGATCGCCTCAAAAAAACATACTCTAAATGTTCATCAGTGTTAGCATTACCTCTGTTTACACAACGGTGCAAACGATTTTTCCTCTTTATTTTATGAATTAAATCAGTGGAGAACCAAACTGGAAACTTGGCGCAGCCTGTGACCTCTTTCAGCTGTATCTTTGGAATAGATGCATCTATGCATCTGTAAATATTCTTATAAAATAAACCTACCGCACAGTTAACATCTCTGGCTGCAAGTAAATCGGACCAGCTACACTGTTTAAGCATTTCATACAGCAATAGAAAGTTACCCTTCGAATAATTGTATGTATATGCTTTTTTAATTTGTGTTTCGTTTTTCATTTCATTAAAAACAACTTTTATTATCAATGAAGGATGATAGGGGTCTTCCTTGATCAGTGGGCTGTCCGATCCACCAACAACAGATAAAGCCATGTTAGACAGTACAAAATCTAAAAATCTATTCATAAAATTTGGTATCGTATTAAGTTGCCTCAAATCATACATACTTAAAAATTGTTGCATCAGAACATCTCTCTCACCATTTGGACCCTGTGTTTGATTAAAGTGTGGCAAATTAAAATCTCCTAAAATAACAACATTAAAATTATTTAACAATAATAAGTCTTCAAACATGTTTAAAAAACTGTCAAATTCATCAACAGTGGCATTAGGTGTAAAGTACACAACAGAAATATAAATAAAACATTTTTTTAACCTTACTTTAACAATAACACAGTCAATATCACAGTTTGTATCGATCTCTTCGTAGGATATCTCTTTTTTTAAGGCAATAAGGGCTCCACCACCCCTGGTTTGTCCATTTGAGCGATCTTTTCTTTTTTTTTTTTTTTTTTTTTTTTATTATAAAATTTGATCATTAGTTAAAATACATCAACAAATAAAAAAAATAAATATATATAACACGCATCTACAGATTTCAATGCATCTGCAGTTAACCCTGGTAAAATTCATTAAGACCATAGTAAGCTCTGGCGACTAAAAACCTCCTCACAGACACACGAAACTGGCAATAGTCGTTGATGTTTCGTAATTCCCGGGGTAAATGATTGAACATTTTTATGCTCTCATAAATAATCGAGTGTTTTGTCAATGCAAGTCTAGGAATAGGTAGGGGCAATTGATTGTGTCGAAGGCTATACGCTCTCTCTTGCACAAATCCAGAAAACTTTTTAAATGTCAAACTGACAGACTCAAGAATAAAAATGCAAGGTACAGTCAATATTTCTTCTTGCTTAAATAAGGGTCTACATGTGTCTCTACAGCCCACACCACATAGATATCTTATGGCTCTCTTTTGCAGTATAAATACTGATTGAATTGATCTTTGCACGAAGTATCCCCAAAAAGCTATCCCATATCTTACATGTGCCTCAAATAATGAAAAGTATGTCTGTCTGGCTGTTCCTTTGTCAAGTTCATGAGAAATAGTTTTAATGATATAGCAGGCACTTGCTAATTTTTTCGTTAGGCAATTTATGTGAGGCTCAAACTTCAACTGTGAATCAATGTGCAGACCCAGAAACTTCACTGTGGTTCTATTCTCTAATG